GTCAGATCCGATTTGATGGTACAGACACACAAAATCTTAAAATAAAATAAATTTTTTTAAAAAAACCTTAGCTAATCGACTGGCAGAAATCCATGTCCGCCATCTATCGCAATAGGCCTCATCTGTCACGATGAGAGTCATACATGTCACGACCCGCTGCATCTGTCCCACGTCATCTTTTCAGTTGTTTCATATGCCTATGAAAGTTGAACAATGAATAAGAAGACAGAAGAGTAGTTGATACCTTTAAATTGTGATATTGGCAAAGTATCTAATATTGCCTAAAGAACCTATCTGTCTTTGAAGAAGTTAAGCCAGAGTGCTCCTTAAAAACAAGGATCGTGATATTTGGTCTCACATACTTCGAGCATGTTATTGCTCATGTTGTTGCTGTAACAAACTGCAATAAATTTGGTACCTTAAAACTATGTTATATATCTTATCGAACATTTCTGGAAGTCTAAAATTTAAAATGGATGTCAAGGGTGTGTTCCTTTTGATACTATATGGGAGTCAGTATATTTGTGTATGTGTCTCACTCACTTCCCTCATTGCTGTCAAGTCAGAACAGACCCTCCATGGGTGGAGATTGTCCATCATTCTCCTGCGGAGCCCCTTATAGATTCTTAGGCTTCAACATGTCAGAGATGGTAAGGATTATGCAGGACAGGGCAGGGTTTCAATCTGTTATTCAATGGGTCAATATGACTCATAGTTAACAGAGCCTAACAACAGCAGGTCAAGACAATACTACTAAACAGGAAATAGTGCTTCTTATAGTTTGTTTTTGTTTGGGTTTGTTTCTGTTTTTTGGTTGTTGTTTTTTTTAACAGCTCTAGGAGTGAAAATTCACATACCATTCATTAAAATTGTTAAATGATGTTTAGTATAGTTAACAGAATTGTGCAACCATTAGCATGGTTTTGGAATTTTTTCATCTTGTTTCGATTTGTACATATGAGGATGCAATAGTGTGAGCTGTTAAAGAGACATATTTAAGGTGGCATCAAATTGGCAGGGCTGAGACAATTCAGTGGGTGCCAGGGACTAGATTCCAATCCTAGTTTTGTCCCACTCCTTTCCTTATGTTCTACATACCCAGTAGCAGTGTTGTGCAGAGGTTAAGCCGGCAGACTCGTAGTTAAATCTCATGCTTTTGCAACCTTAAAGATATGTGACCTTCTGTAAAAACCTCTTGGCGCCTCCACTTACTCACTTGAAAAACGAGAGTAATTCAATCCCTTGTAACTATTATTATCTGTAAAATGAAGGGTTAGACTCACCTCAAAGATGCCTTCCAGCTATGTAATTCTAAGTATCAAGGAAGGAAAGAAGATAATGAAAAATTCCCCAAGTATCCAATGCAAAAAAGAGAGAGAAGAATTCTCTAAAGACAAGGACTCACATACCCAGCACCTCAGCCAATGGGAAAGACAAACGTATAAAATGGTCTTCACAGGTCAGTTGTTTGATGCTCTCAAATCAACTACAACTCATAGTAATACTCTCAACAACAGACCTGAACTCTGCCATATCTTGCATCATCCTCCCAATCCCTCACATGGCCAGCCCACTCTTACAGTCAATCACTGTGTCAATCCATCTTGTTCAGGGTCTTTCTCCCTTTCTCTGACACTCCACCTTTCCCAGTATAACGTCTTTTTCCAAGGATTAGCCCTTCCTGACAACATGCCCGAACTATGTGAGATAAGTTTTACTATCCTTGCCTCCAAGGAGCAACCTCCAAGACAGACTTGTTGTTGTTGTTTTTTTCTTTTGGTGGTCCATGTCATACTTAGTGCTCTTTGATAACACTGCAATTCAAAGGCATAGATTCTTCTTCTGTTACCCTTATTCATTGCCCAATTTTCTTTTTTTTGTTTTAAGTAAACCAGTAAAAATATTTTTTTTTAAAGAGTTGTGCTACCACTCCAAAAGCACACAATTTGAATCCCCAACTGCTTGTGGGAGAATCATGAACAATCTCCTCCTGTGCAATTTACAGCTTCTGAAAATCCGCTGGAGGGAAGCTATTAGGGAGTTCTGGTGGTGTAATCAGCGGCTTGGTACACTGACACCAATGGCTGGGCACATTGCCCAATTTTCAAATGCATGGGAAGCAATTGAAAAGATCACAGTTTGGATCAGGCACACCTTAGTTTTTAAACTGATATCCTTGCTCTTCAGCCTTTGGGAGAGGTCTTTGACAGTAGATTTTTCCCAATGCAACATGTCTTAATTTCTTGACAGCCACTACCATGGGTGCTGACTGACTATGGATCCAAGTAAAATTAAATCATTGACAGCTTAATTTTTTCCCCCTCCATCTATCTGTTTTGATGGGAGTGTGGGAGCGTAGTGGTAAGGTGTTGCACTGCCAATGCAAAAGCACACAATTTTAATCAACTAGCTGCTCTACAGGAGAAAGATGGGCAAGCTCTTTTTATGCCATTTACCGATTCTGAAAACCCACTGGAGGGTGGCTGTGGGTCTATTCCAATTCCACAGCACTTAGCAACAACAATCTGTTTCTGGTTTTTTTTTTAAGTGTAATTTTCATTTTATTTTCAGACGAGTTTTTTCTTCAGCCTTTTTTTTTTCTCTTTTCTTCAGCCTTTTAAGGAATCAAATCCTTACATGGGCTTTGGTGGTGGTCGTGGGGCAGCACTTGCAGGTTTAAATCTAGGTGAAGGTGTTCGGTCCTTTCCGGCTTCACGAGAACAGTTCCTCACCATCTTGCTCTGAATGGCACAACTCACACAGTAGTGCAGTTTCACACTGAGTTTTAGAAGTACATATGCATCGAAAACACTCGCTTCAGAAATGTTCCTGGTGGCAGCTGCCACTACTACAAATTTTTGTTGTTGTTGTTGTTTGATGCCATCAAGTCGTATACAACTCATAGCGACCCTATGAACGGCGGGAAGCTCCAGCCAACACTGTCCACCATGGGTATCCGTTACCACGATTGGCACATTACTGCCACAGTCTTCAGCATCACAGCAACCACGAGTTACCTCTGTGCAGCAACGCTGTACAGACCAGTGCTATACCACCTTACAAAGGGCCTCAACCCCTCCTACGAATTACGAACTTCTTAATTGCCTTATCTTTGGTCACACACCGGGCACAGTTTGTTCAGTGAATAGGCTGCACGTGGCCGCGGCCCTTTTTGGCATGACCGTTGTTTCTCCTTTTCTTTGTCACGTGCCATCAGAACTCCACAACAATCTGTTTTTAAGTAAGTGCAACCAGATTGCTCCTTGGAGGAGACAAGGCTAGCGTATGTTCAGGTGCGACCAATCTTTAGAGAGAGAGACCATGCTGGAAAAGGCAGAGAATCAGTGAAAGAGAAGATCCTCCACAAAATGATTTAACAGAGTGACTACCACAGCAGGCTTGATTATAAGGGTAGAGGATAAGGCAAAATTCACAGGGTCATATTAGTCCTAGTCAACTCAATGGCATCTAACAACAACAGCAATCATGATATTACTTATTGGTCTAGTGGTGAAGATTTTTGTTTTGATGTTGAATTGTAATCCATGTTGAAGGCCATACAACCAGAAATTTAAATCTCCTTCACTTTTTGTTAGCAAGATTGTGCCAGCTGCATAATGTAGGTTCTTAAATGAGTCTTTTTCCAATCTTGATGCCACGTTCTTCTTCATATAGTCCAATTTCTCAAATTATTTGCTCAGCATAGAATAGGTATGTAGAAAGGATACATCTTTCCTAATTTTAAACCTTCTTCTGTTCAGATAACTACATCTCGTTCTAGATATAGGTTTCACATGAGCACGATTGAGATCTAAGATTCCTATTCTTCTCAATATTGCCCTAATTTGTTATGATCCACACAATCACATGCCTTTGCGTAGTCAACAAAATAAGTTTTTACACCGGTTAGAGCATAGTGGAAAGAGTTGGGTGGCCTCAGAGCAAAAACAGGGGTGAGACTGAAGGGAGCTCTTAACACAACCAAGTCTCCATAATGCCTGCGAGTTCGAGGAGAGAGGAGGCCAAGGTGAGAGGTGAGAGGTGGGAAAGCAGTGGAAAGATGATTCTGAAAATAAATCTTCAGAGCCATGTTTCATTTGATCATTTGTGCTCATCCCTAGACCATCCCTCCCTTTTGCTCACTGCAGTTAGTATGCTCCCGTCACAATAACCCACCCCTTCCTCTTGCCTGTGATTGGTTCGGCTCGAGCTGTAGCTGAGAGGCACGCCTATTGACATGCCCCTACCTCTGATTGGCTGAAGAATTTAAAGCTCCGTCTGATGATAGGGTAATATTCTATCCCAAGTATTTGAAAGTTCCTAGCTCTGCAGTCTCTTCCTGACCGGCTCTGGTCCGCTTGTTCATCCAAGTGTGCCAGCGCAAGAGAGTGAGTGTCCACCCACACCCTGAGGTGAGAGATAGAGAATCTGACTACTTCAAAGGGCTAGAATCTTTGCCGGGAGGGTGCATATTAATGGACACATAGAAGGAGCACCGCACCCCACCCCTACAGTGCAGGTGAGAAGCGCTTACCAGCTGTTGGGGGCTAAGAAGAGCAAGCATTAATTTTTACTTATCCTCAGGGGAAATAATGAGACCAAGTCACGTATCAGCAAAGATAGAGGCATTTATTACATGTTAGTCTTCTCCCCATTGCTCCCCGTGCAATTCCCCAACATCTGGGAGAGACAACCCTGAGGTTCCTCTTAGTAGCCTCTCTCTGCAAGGATACACTCCATGCACAGCCCTCTGGTCCCTACGAAGCAGCCATGATCTCCCCAATTATCTGAACGTGACATCCCCTGCGGCTCCAGAATTTGTTGGGACTATTTCTGAGAGTTAATTTTTCAAATAATCACAGAGCTCTTTTACGGCTAACGGCTTTCATAATCCCATGTGTCTCCAATTATGTCCGGACACTGCTTCTATATAACCCAATAAGCTCCCTGAGCCAGCCAAGATCCTTGTGCTCTGGTCCCTCCGCAGACGTGCGGCGGCGATGCTGTCAGGTATGGAGACAGCAGCAGAATGTGAAGATGCGGAGCTACACTGCCGCGTGGCGGTGGAAGAACTGAGCCCCGGAGGGCAGCCCCGAAAGCGACAGGCCTTGCGGACTGCAGAACTGAGTCTGGGTCGCAACGAGCGCCGGGAGCTACTGCTGCGGCTGCAGGCGCCGGGGTCCGCCGGACGTCCGCGCTGCTTCCCGCTGCGCGCCGCGCGCCTCTTCACGCGCTTCGCCGCGGAGGGGCGCAGCGCACTGCGTCTCCCCGCCGCTGGCGCTCCCAGTCTCGGTATAGGTGCGGTGCAGTTGTTGCTCTCCGACTGCCCGCCAGATCGCCTGCGCCGCTTCCTACGCACTCTGCGCCTCAAGCTGGCCACTTCCCCGGGACCTGGGCCTCCCCCTGCCCGCGCGCAGCTGCTCGGTCCTCGTCCCCGCGACTTTGTCACCATCAGCCCGGTGCAGACAGAGGAGCTGCGGCGAGCAGCTGCCACCCGTGCCCCAGACACCATACCAGTGAAGCTGTCAAAGAAGCTCAGGACTAGCCCAGAGCACAATCAGGTGAGGACAGGAAAGGAGGGTTACTTTTTAAGTGAATGTGTGAGGAGGCCCAGATCTGGAAAGAGATGGTGGTGGTAATTAAGATTGCTGATTATCTGAAAGGAGACATCTACCAGACATCTGTGAATGACAGGAGTGTGGAAATTGTGCATGTGGTTTTTTAATAGTTTAATCTCTGAGACTGGGTAAATCAGAGGAGGAAAAGGCAGATCTGAGCCCTGGAGAATACCCACATGCAAAGAGAAAACAGAAAAGGAGGCATAGAAAGAAAAAGGGAAGGATAAGAGCTCATGAGAAGGGGAGCTTCTGGCAAAAGTGAAATATGGTCAGCAGTGTAAGGCGCAGCTGAGAGGTCCAATAAAATGAAGTAGACGGAGTCTAGGGTGTTTGTGAACTGAGGCAAATGTGCCAGCGCACAGGGATTTGAGATTAAGCAGAAAAGGAGAAAAAAAAAAGGAGAGGAAGCAAAAGAGAACTAGTGAAGGTGTCGGCTTTGGTGCTATGAAGGGAGCCCAGCCTTTGTCCATCTGGAAATCTTTGCAGTAACTATTGGGGTCTAGGTCTAAAGCCCCCCAGGGTGGGTCTGGACCTTCCTGCAGCTCCCCTGGATTTCTCTAATCTTTCTTGCCCTCTAACCCAGTCTTTCTTCTTACCTACTTACCTGTCACAAACCTGTCACTTCATAGCACTAAGGAGTGATGCCAGCAGAGAGACAAAAAATACCAGGCCTTGCAGTGAACCCAGGCCATGAAGGGAGGACCCTGAAATAGCTCTAATTTCCCCACTAGGAAGTCCCAAGGCGACCCTTGGCTGTGAAGAAGCTGAGCTTGCCCCCCAGCAAGCCACAGCTTTCTGAAGAGCAAGCTGCTGTGCTGAGGGCCGTCGTGAAAGGCCAGAGCATTTTCTTCACTGGGAGTGCAGGTAGTAGGGAACAGAAAAGGGTTATGGGAGCAGGGGAGATGGGAAAGCAGAAAAAGGCTCTGACTCTGTCTTCTACCCAGGTACAGGGAAGTCATACCTGCTGAAGCGTATCCTGGGCTCCCTGCCCCCCACAGGCACCGTAGCCACTGCAAGCACTGGAGTGGCAGCCTGTCACATTGGAGGTACCACGCTCCATGCCTTTGCAGGTAAGTGGGAGTTGAGGTAGGAGCAAACACAGCCTGTGGGAAGGTGAGAGGAGTTCAAGGTGGCTGAGGCTCTCAGTCCAAACTGAATGGTGTCACTCACAGGCATTGGCTCAGGCCAGGCTCCTCTGGCGCAGTGTGTAGCCCTGGCCCAACGACCAGGTGTGCGGCAGGGCTGGCTGAACTGTCAGCGGCTGGTCATCGACGAAATCTCCATGGTGGAGGCGGACTTATTTGATAAGTTGGAGGCCGTGGCCAGGTCAGTATATCCAGTGAGGACAGTGAAATGGTCTATTGGTCTTGGCCTGAACAACCTGTCCACTTGAGCCCCGAATCACCCCTTCTCTCTTCACAGAGCTGTCCGGCAGCAGAACAGGCCCTTTGGAGGCATCCAGCTCATCATCTGTGGGGACTTCCTACAACTGCCTCCTGTAACCAAGGGCTCCCAGCCGCCAAAGTTCTGTTTTCAGGTACCAGTCACCTTCTGGCCCCACCTCTGACCACTGTAGAGATCTGCTCTGCTCCTTGACCCACCCTACCCCTCCAGGCCAAGAGCTGGAGAAAGTGTATCCCAGTGACCCTGGAGCTGACTGAGGTGTGGAGACAGGCGGACAAGACCTTCATCTCCCTGCTGCAGGCTGTGAGGCTGGGCAGGTGGGCGTTGGTGGAGAGGGACAAAACTATAGGATGAGAATTCAAGGGGGGTTCAGGTGGGACGCTGGGAAGGGGGGAAATATGCTTGTCCTTGAGAGGACATTCTGTATAGAAGAGTCTTATAGGACAAGAGAAGAATGAACAGATAGACATACAAGATGTGTCTATAACTCTCTTATTACTGTTGAATCAGAACTGACTCATAACCGACCCTTTAGCAGGTTCCTGAGGCTGTAAATCACATGGGAGGAGATTGCCCATCTTCCATACAGCTGCTGATGGATTCAAACCTTTGGGTTAGCAGCACAACTCCTTAGGGTCTGGGTCAAGTTCTCTAGACACATAATGTTGTTGCTGCTGTATGCTAGCACGGTGGAATCAACTCATAGCTGACTCTCCAGTGGGTTTTCAGAGGCTATAAACTGTACAGAAGGAGATTGCCTATCTCTCTCCCACAGAGCAGTAGGTGGATTCAAACTGTGTGTCTTTGGTTTGACAGCACAACTCCTTACCACTAGGCCACCAGAGCTCCCTAGACACATCATAGAGAGGTTAATACTCTCATTTAGCAGAGGCAGAAACTAAAGTTCAAAGAGGTAAAGTAACTAAACTTCCCAGAGTCACAGTTAGTAAGTGGTAGAGTTGGGATTTGAACCTAAGTCTTGACCCCAACAGCCAAGTTCTTTTTACTTATAGAGTCTAAGGGACTACTTAGTGGGGAGGTGAGCAATGCTTTAAACACTGTGCCTCTATGACCAGGACAAAAAGCCAGAATGCCATGACCTCTATATTGTAAGAATGGAAAGGAAATAGCAGGTCCAGTTGGGGATGGTACAGAACTCCCAGTGCAGATCCAGGAGGCAAGAAGGAGCACATGCAGGGGATGAGAGGAGGACTCAGTGGCAGAGCAGGTACATATGTCCCCAAGCATCCTATCTAGCTGCTGTGATATCCAGAATCGGGAGGGGAGTGGAAAGACAAGCTGGATTTTTCCTCCCAAGGCAGCAGGTCAGGAACTGGAGGATTATACCCTGGAAGCTGATCTGTACCAGCACCTTGTCTAGCTCTTCTGAATCTCTGGCTTGAGTTTCCCCGCCAACTTCCTCAGGAGCTCATGGGCTGGGAATGTGGTTAGCTCCCACAAACACAACCCTATCCTTCCTTCTCCCATGCTCACTCCCCATGTCTAGAATCCAAGTGGAGAAGGAACAAATTAGCCAGCCTTGGGGTTAGCAAATCTTGCCTTCTTGTCTTCTCCAGCCCAACACCTGACTCATGGCCTACTGATCATATGACTACCCTCCCCAGCCTCTCTGGTGCTCAGGTGGGCTCTGCCCTGACAGCCTCGTCCCCATAGGTGCTCAGATGAGATAACCCGCCAACTCCGGGCCACAGCTGCCCACAAAGTGGGGCGAGACGGGATCGTGGCCACAAGGCTCTGCACTCACCAGGATGACGTGGCCCTCACCAACGAGAGGCGGCTGCAGGAGCTGCCAGGTGGGCAGGGATCAGGGTGGGGCAGGGACTGTTGGGAAAGCCATCAGGTAGACAGGGGCCACTGTATATCCACCCCAAGGGTCATTTGGATTACTGTGTCCTCATCTTCAGTAGTCATAAATACTGGATCTTAACTTCATAAAAGTCAAACTCAGTGGCCTTAAAGGCCTTTGCTTTTGCAGAATGCAACCACAGTGAGGTGGTCTAGATCACTTAGTAAGCATTAGGACTCAGACTTGAACCCAGACTTCTGACCCCAAAGCCCCAACTAGGCCTGAGCTGCCCCCACAGAGCCCTTTCCTGGCCTTTCTCCTCTTCCTCCACACCTCTTTTAACAAGTATTTTGGGACACTGAGTCACAAGTTAGTGATTTATCATCAGTTTTTCTCTTTTCTCAGGTGAGGTGCACAGCTTTGAGGCTATGGACAGTGACCCTGAGCAGGCCCGGACCCTGGACACTCAGTGTCCTGCAAGTCGGCTCCTTCAGCTAAAATTGGGGGCCCAGGTGAGTGGAATGCAGAGCCTGGACCCTGTGGACTTGGGCTGTCCTGTGTGGCCCTCCCTGCTCCTTGCCTTCTGTCCAGACAGCTCTCCAGCCTGGTCCTGACCATGCCAAAACTCCCTCTCCTCCACCTGCGGTCCTGTCTTAAGCTTTCCATTGCCCTTCCCTGCTCCCTGGAGCTCTAAGTAGTGTTGCTTTGAAGAATACCATTTCTTTTGCTGAAGTTCAATTTCATCATCTGCAAAATAGAGAATGAATACTTATCCCACCGGGCGTCTTCTGTCAGGTACCTGACAGATGTGTGTGTGGTGGGTGGGATGGGAGACTTTCCTTGGGTTGCAAAGGGTATCTGATGGGAGAAAAGCAGGTACAGTGTGACTGGGAGAGAGCCCCCAGCTTTAGACCTGAGGGCTACCCCTATATACCCTGTACAGATCTTAGATGTTCAAAGCACTGTGATGTCTGTTACCTCATTGACCTTTCCTGCTTCCTTCTAAGGCACAATGAACAGATGTTATCCTCTTTTAAGCAAGGTGAAAACTGACCTAGGAAAATATGGCAGCTTCTCCAGAGGTTCCAGCCAGCTGGTGGCAGAGCTAAGGACAGGGAGTCACCCCTGTGCTCCAGCCTCTCAGAGCATTGGCTCCTGGAGATGAGGCTCAGCTCTTTCCCTCACCTCCATTTATTTTTCACTGGCAGGTGATGCTAGTGAAGAACTTAGCTGTGTCTCAGGGCCTGGTGAATGGAGCCCGAGGAGTGGTTGTTGGGTTTGAAGCCGAAGGGAGAGGTAAGTGATGTTTGGGGGGCAGTGGCAGTGGGAAGGGAAAGGCAATGCTGCCCACTTCTGAGCCTTGAAGCAGGACTCAGAGATAAAAGCTTGGACATTTCCATGCCTCCCCCAGGGTTGCCACAGGTGAGATTCCTGTGCGGCATCACCGAAGTCATCCGTGCTGACCGCTGGACAGTGCAGGCCCCTGGGGGCCAGCTCCTTAGCCGGCAGCAGCTGCCTCTCCAGCTGGCCTGGGCAATATCCATCCACAAGAGTCAGGTGAGCCCCTGTGAGAGATAAGGTTAGAGCAGGCCAGAAGGTGGACCTGCCAGGCCTAGGATGTATTGACGGTGGAACTTAAAAGCTTTAGGGAGCTCTGGTGGCCTAGTGGCAAGAAACTGCATTGCAATCCCAAAGACATGCAGTTCGAACCCACCAGATGCTCTGCTGGAGAAGGAGAGGTAACTTCCCCCTGTGCCAGTTGGACCTGATTCGATGGCATACAACAAGAAAATAAATAAATAAAATCTTAAAAAAAAGGGCCTTTATGAGAACTGAGTTTGCTCTGGATAGAAAATTCCACACAAGGAGTAGACCAAATCTTCCTTTAGTATAGTTCCCTCCCTGCCTCCTTCTCTGACATTCCCAAACACATGCACCTCCCCACTGCCATCTTTAAATTTAATTCCTAAAACTATATGAGGTAGGGAGCTCTGGTGGCCTAGTGGCAAAAAGTTGTGGTGCAATCCCAAAGGTGTGCGGTTTGAACTCCACTGGAGAAGGAGGGGCAATCTTCTCCTGTACCAGTCAGATCTGATTTGATGATACACACTCAAAAATAATAAAATAAAAAATAAATTAAAATAATTTTTTAAAAAACCACAAACAACTACATGATAAGGTATACATGTTCATTCTCGTTTTATAGAGGAGGGAACTGAGGCTCAGAGAGGCTAACTAACTTTCCAAGGTCACACAGCTTGTGAGTGGAAAAGTCAGGATTCTGGCCCAATGTTTCAGCTCTTTTTTTACGCACTCTTATGTCTCAGATCTGTAGGATCCCCCTCTCCTACTCAGACACCTAACAGCTGACAGTCCATCCTCTGTCTCGAGCATTTGTAGATGGGGCAAAGACCCAGGGGCTGTGGTGGGACCAGTGGAAGTAGAGTCAGGCTCTTGAGCACAAGGAGCTAGTTCCATCTCTGTCCCTCCATCCTCCAGGGCATGTCCCTGGACTGTGTGGAGATCTCTCTGGCTCGTGTGTTTGCCAGTGGCCAGGCCTATGTGGCGCTGTCCCGGGCCCGCAGCCTGCAGGGCCTGCGTGTGCTAGACTTTGATCCCACGGTGGTGTGCTGTGACCCCCGCGTGCTGCACTTCTACGCTACCCTGAGGCGGGACAGGGGAGTCAGTCTGGTAATAAGGAGTCACTCGGTGGTGGGGCGTGGGGCTGTGGGTGGGCTGGGAGCTAGGACAGAGGGAAGCCCAGTGGGATTCTGGGGTGAGGGAACCACAGAGTGCTCTGCTGGCTCTGTTGGGGATAGGGTGGGGAGGAGAAGGAGATGCTGGCCTCAAGCTGTGGCACTGAGGAACACTGCCGCCTATGACCTGCTTCTCTGATTCTGATCCAGGAGTCCCCAGTTGATGATGATGAGGCTATCTCAGACGAGAATGTGGACCCGAACTTCTGAGCTCAGCTGCAAAGAGAAGACAAGGGTGTATTGCCATCTTCCAGCTCCCTGGTGGGAAGGACCCTAGGGGATTACTTGGGAGCATGGCCAGTGTTCCTTTGGGGGTTTTGTGTCTTGGCAGGATTGAAGGGAGAACACTTCCTCCTATTTGCCAGTTACCTGTTCTTCCTCTTTGCCCTATGGATGAGCTGCTTCCAAGGCCAAGAGTATCCCTCACTGTACACACAGGGAATAAGCCCATGGCAGGACCTAGTGTCAGAGGACAAAGCTGTCTGCGAGTGCTGGCCTTAGGGCCATGGAGTTCTATAGGATGTTCCATTTGGACGGCAGAGGAGAGAGGCAGCCCAGGCAGGGGCTGGTAATATTATTCACAGGCCTCTGTAGATAGGTGACTGGAGAGGAATCAGGCCAGGTACAGGCCTAGACCAGAATTCAACAAAGTAGCAGGATACAAGATCAACATACAAAAATCAGTTGGATTTCTCTACAGTGACAAAGAGAATATAGAGCCAGAACTAAGAAAAACAGTACCAAAAAAAGAAAAACAGTACCATTCACAATAGTTCATCACAAGGCTTAGACCAGAGACTGGAACTCGAGAGTGTCTCCCCAGCTAGGCTGAGCCTAGCATAGCTTAGGCAAGACCTCCTAGGTTTAACCAGAGAACATATACAACAAAACTGTAGCCATGTGTTACGCTGCCCTGAGGTGGAAGGGAGTATTTGTATTTATTTATGACAAATAAACTAGTGAATTGTGTAGAACTGTGGGGTTTTTTGCTTTCTTTGGAAGAGGAGCTCTGCCTGAGGCCTGAAATGCCCATCCCAGGAAGGCCTGCTCCTGCTTGCTTGCTCTCACCCCGTCTCTCTCACTTGTGCACGTTCACACAGTCACTTGTTTACGACACGCTAGCTGAGATTACATCCTAATGTGAGGATTTGTTTGGACCAGTGGTTGTTTGGGAAGCTGAGTTAGCTGAGGTTGCTGACTAACCGTAAAATGACAAGGTGGATCACATTGCCCAATAGTCAGACCAGGACACGCTAGAGAATTCACATGTTTGGGACAGCAAACAGCCTGACAACGTTAGAGAAATGCTGGTACCTCCACTGAAATGGTTGGGCCTTGTCAAAGCTCCAGCCTGGAAGAAGGGATCATCCACAAACTAACATCAGGCTACCAAAAAGCCTGATGGAGGAGGATGATGTGGAAAAATTGGAATCCCTGTGCACTGCTGAGGGATCGCAAGATGGTACAGCTGCTATGAAGTTTGGTGGTTCCTCCGATAGTTAAGCAGAATTACCACATGATCTAGCCACTCCACTTATAGATATGTTGTTCTATGCCTTTAAATTAGAACTAATTCATAGCTGACCCTTCAGTGGGTTTTCTGAGACAGAAAACTGCATGGGAGGAGATAGCCCATCTTTCTCTTGTGGAGCAGCTGGGGGATTCAAACTTTGTGCCTTGTGGCAGCACAACTTCTTACCAGGAATGCAAATAGAAACTTGTACACCTATGATCATTGCAGCTCTGACCATAGTAGTCAAAAGGCAGGAACAAATGATGAGTGGATAAAATAAACGTGGTACTAACTTCCAAAGGCCACCTTTCAGTCAAATAACAGACTGGTTTATAAAATAATGTCATTCACTAAACAATGATGTGAATGTGCTCCCTTAAACACAACTATGTGATCAAATAGCATTTTCTACAAAGCAAAGAGCAGGTAAGGAGGGTGAGGGACGCTAGATTGATGGAACAGAACAATGGTAACAATGAGAATGCTGATGCATTGTGAGGATTGTAACCATTGTCATCGACAAATTGTATAAAAATTATTAAATGGGGATCTAACTTGGTGTCTGAACTTTTACCTAAAACACAAGAAAATGTGTTTGGGACTTTTAAAAAAAATATTCTTTTTTAAAAGGTATCTACATACAATGGTATACTACCCAGCCATAAAGAGAAATGAGGCTCTAACACATGCTACAACATGGATGATTCTTACAAACATATTGTGTGAAATAAACCCATAGCAAAAGAGCAAATATGATTATGATTCAATGCATATGTAATATCTAGAATATACAAGCATATGGAGATCAAAGTTTATTAAAGCAATTGTCAGGAGTAAGCAGGAAGGGGGGGAAAGGAAGACAAGTTAGGAGGCCCATATTCTGAGCATGTTGTCAGGAGAGCTTGGAAAAAGACATCATGCTGCAATGGTGGAGGGTCAAAGAACAGAGGACTCTCCACAGGATAGATCGACACAGTGACTGTAACAATGGGCTCTAGCATTATCGGAAATGATGAGGATGGGGCAAGGTTCAGATCAGTTGTTCATAGGGTTACACATTATAGTCCACTGGATGGCATCTAATGACAACAAAAGGGATGGGGTAAGCCCTGGTGACACAGTGCTTAAGCATTCAACCAATAAATGGAAGCTGCTCCTCAGAAAAAAAAGATGTATGACAGTTGGTTTCCACAAAGGTTCACAGCCTTAGGTAGGCCTTGAGGCAGTTCTCTGGCCTATTGTGTCTCTGTGAGTTCCAGTGCCTCTTTGGCAATGAAGGAGAATGATGTGGAGTATTTAGAGATGACAGTAGTTGAACTCGATGAACATACTCCATGTCATAGAATTTGTGCACGTGAAGGTTGTTGAACTAGCAAATGTTTTGTTAACCACATATTTACCACACACAAAGCCTATTGGAGATTGTGCAGGCCCCCTCAGGCTAGCTAGAACTGCTCAGGTTCTCAGTCTCTTGAGTGGAAAGGCACCAAAGGTGGGTGGTAGATGCCAGTTACTGTGGAACTATGCCCTGGCACAACAGGTATATTTGATAAATAAAAAGGACAATTTTCTGAGGGAAATGGAAATCACCATTCGTGAAGGAAGAGAGAATACTAGCAGAAGTCCAGGTGTGGTGTTAGAGATCTTGAAATCTGGGTGTATGAAGTCAGGACTGTCTTCTTTAGGATATTAGCAGAGGCCCCAGACGTGAGTGTGCAGGGAGTGTCTGGATGAATGGTGCATGCTGTGGGACCCAGTGCTGTGGTGGGTCAGAAAATCCGGTTCTCAGACCCTGCCTGTGAACCTCCTAGAGGAGACAGGGCAAGAGCTTGTGGAGAATTTGACCTGTGGTTGAATCTCAGAAAATCCACCTGGGGTTCCATTTTCCTTTTGCCACTCACCTGCTATGTGATGAAGGTTTGCTATATCACCTCTTTGAGAGGGTTTCCTCACCAACAAAAACACAGGTGGTCATTGTTTGTGTCACAGGAAATTATTGGCAGATGGGCCCTTTATACAGCAGGCTCTGGATCAGTCATTGCTATTTATGTGTTTCATTTACCATTTATTATCCCTACGAGAGAGAGCTCTGGTGGAGTGGTAAGGAGTTGCATTGCCAGCCCAAAGGCAAACGATACAAATCCACCTCCTGTCTTGAGGGAGAAAGATGGACAATCTCCAGTGTGCGATTTAATGCCTCTGAAAACCTACTGGAGGGTCAGTCAGCTATGAGTTGGTTCTAACTCAACAGCACGTAACAACAACAACAATCATCACAAGGAGTTCTGATGGCATAGTGTTTAAAGTGTCTAGTCAACCAATCGAAAGGTCAGTGGTTCAAATTCAGCAGCCATTGCATGGGAGAAAGATGGGAGTCTAATAAAAATTTACAACCTTGGGAACCCAATGGGGCAGATCTACATCATGCTACAAAACCACCATGAGTCAGGATCTCTGGACGTCAGTGAGCGGGTATCACGTGAGGTCAGCAGAACACTGTCCTGTCTGGTTCCTCCACTGGCTCCTTTGACAGGAAGATGCAGTGGCTCAGAGAGATGCCAGCCCAGGACATGGACACTGGCGGATGCTTACCTGTCTCTTGTCACCACTCACTCCTAACACTAAAGAATGCATAGTTTTCCTGAAGCACAATCTCTTTTCTGTGAATGGGAGACACTCTTAAAAGCTCACCATGATGATGTCGCTCAAGTGGGCAGCAATGAGACCTTTCAATCCACAGATGCAGCCTGGATTCTGGCTGTGAACTCGTCACACACAGGCCCCATGCTCTGGGGACTTCCATTCTGGTTACACCTGGCTTTTTCACTTTTTCCTTCACTTTAGTAAAACACAGTTTGGGAGCCAAACCAACCAGTCCAGCACAGTAGTTTAAAACAAGATCACACTCATCCTAATAGCTCTGCACCCTTTGGGGTTCTTGGATGAGAAAGGTAGAAACAGATCCAAGATAGCAAAGCAGGAAAGAAAGATAACAGAAGGCTAGTTAGCAGAATTTTTTTAAAGTGTACTTTGAGTGGAAGTTTATAGAACAATCAGTTTTCCATTCAATCATTCATACAGACTTTGTGTTTGTTTTTGGAGCTTTTTTTTCGGGTTTGTTTTTGTTTTTTGTGGTTTTCTTTTACAATTCTATTTCTTGTGTAGCAGCTGGTGGCCTTGAACTCGAACCATGTCACTTCAGGGCTGCAATGACGCTTCTTGTCACTAGGCCACCAGAGCTCCCAACTAATTGTTATGAACTGACCCATGACCCATAGCTGGCCCTCCAGCGAGTTTTCAGAGGCAATTAATTGTCACTTCTTGTCACTAGGCCACCAGAGCTCCCAACTGTTGTTATGAACTGACCCATGACCCATAGCTGGCCCTCCAGCGAGTTTTCAGAGGCAATTAATTGCACGGGAGGAGATTGCCCATCCTTCTCCCGCAGAGCAGCTGATGGCCTCGAACCATGTGACTTCAGGATTGCAGCGCGGCTTCCTACCATTAGGCCAGGAAAGCTCCCTCAGACTTTGTTTTACGATATTCATTTACAGTCCTCACAGGTAATGCATCTTCCCACTTGCTCCCAGTGATTCACATTTCCCTTCAACCTTCTATTTTCTCCTTTCTTGCCCTCTATGCTTTCTCCCAAGGCAAATACTGTCTGTGTGTCTGACTGTTCTAGGGTTGAATACCT